CACTAAACATCACTGAGTGATTTTTCAGTCCATTACATTGTTACACACTCATCACTCATTACTGAATGTGTATAATGAATGTTTCAAAATGATTATGTAGTTGTAAAGGAGTGGTACTGTATTGGTGATAAATATGTTATGAATGCTTTATTTACATGTAGTTACCGTAAAACATTACCAAATATTCCCGTTAAACACAGTGTTGGTTCATCTTGACGGGAGCACGTATCAAAATTGCAAGTGGCTTAACTCTGTTTAGAGCCAAGCTCTGGTATTAAACTCATTAGCAAAGTGAGGAGAGATATTTTACTCATTTGCAGTAAAAAATGAAATAAAAATGATCATACTGCAGTACTGAGTAGATGTATCAGCCATGTTCATTAGTTGCCTACATAGCAAGCCCACTGCCATCAGTTTACCTTTAGCACTGCAGTCACTAATGTAATACTGTGATTACGAGAGTTATGAATGACTTTTCTTACTTACTTAGAAATCGTGTTTGAGTTCATATAAATACTTTGCAGCAATTTACAGTGATTTATACAGACAAATGAAGCAAATCATCATGTTTGCTGTAATGTGTGTTTAGCAGTGTATCCCACCCTCAGTGTTTCTACCAAACCTGCACGCTCAAGCTTGGTTAACCATGACTGCAAACTAGTGCAGACTTTAACACAGTTGTAGTCTGAGCCTTCATAGCTACAGCGCATCATAAACCACGAACGGGTAATGCTGCTCTTTCTCTGAATCTAAGTAAAGGCCTTCACCATTATTTGACTTCCTTCTGGACTTTTTCTTACTTAAAGTCAAATGATCGCGCTGTATTGGCTGATCATTTTGCTTGTTTTAGGAAAATATACTTGAAACTGGCAAACTCTTCTGAAAATATAGAGAGATCATTCGATTCAGAGTAATGTAGAAATAAAGTCATGAGTAGTTAGATTTGTGGGGTCGTGGGCATTCAGGTGTGATTTTCGACCTTGGCTTTAAACACAGAGATTTCTCCAGACTTCCTGAATATCTTTATAATATTATTCACTGTAGAGGGAGAAACCTAAAATCCTTGCAATCACTCTTGGAGGAATGTTGGATTATAAGCTAACACAAATTGTGGCATAGCCTTGATTCGTCCTTTCTCACACTCTCAGAAAAAAAGGTAGTAAACTATCTCTGGGGCAGTTCCCCTCTTGTCACTAGGGTGGTACCCTCAAGGGTACATCTCAGTACCTTTAGTCAGGGAACACAATTGTACCATAATCCATTAAAATGATATTATCTAAGCTGTACTGACTCCACACACCCCGTCTCGTCTCCAGGCTTTTTATTTTACTGTTCTGTTTAAAACATCAGGTTATGAAAAGGTACGAATACAAACTTTTCACCTAAAAAAACTTATTTAAGGTTCACAATTGGACCTTAAAACCACTGTTATACATTTGAGGGAACATTTACATTGTTTGTACCTTGATGAACGAAAAATGTACCTTCAACCTTTATTTCTAAGAGTGCTTGAAGGACTAGGCCTTTCCTTGATGCTCCTTCAATACTCAAGCATGCATCACATGTTTAAGATTTAAAAGTTTTTTAAACTTTTTTTTGTTAAAAAAATTACAATTTTTTAATAGCATCACTTGTTCAATATGTTTATTGAACATTTCACAGTGTTCCTGGTCTTAAATTGCCTCTGTCACAACTTTTTTGGAACTTGTTGAAGAAATCATTTTCAGTATGACCATATATTTACATACGTTTTTATTTAACTACAGGTCAAAGTGGGTTTCACATACTGTATCAGCTTAGAACTGAACTTTGTATTTCCTAACATACATGTATCAGTGTCTTAAGAGCAGCTTTTACCTCAGTAATGATTTGACAGTTCTCAGTTTTCCAATGATTGTCAAACACATACTGTATTACCATTCTAGAGAAAATAAGTTATTATTTGGACCTAATGAGTCACAATTTGAACCAAGGAACCAAGAATAACAAACTTTTTTTTTTCCCACATGACAGAAATGGGCTTTTATACCAAAAGGACATGAAACAAACACTCACAGTTAGAAATAAAGGTTCTATGCAGGTAAATTTTTTCCTTCATCAAGGTACAAACAATGTAAATGTTCCCTCAAAGACACAACAGTTGTTTTAAGTTTTTAAAGCTGAAAAGTATGTATTTGTACCTTTTGATAATCTGATGTTTTAAAACAGAATAATAAAATAAAAGTCTGGAGACGAGACGGGGTGTGTGGAGTCAGTACAACTTAGAAAATGTAACTTTAATGTATTATAGTACAGTTATGTTCCCTGACTAAATGTACTGAGATGTACCCTTGCTTTGGTGACCAGCCAGTCAAAGATGCTTGATTTCATTACACTTACTGTAGCCAACATACTGTAATCATTTTTGTAAGTGTATTTTATATGAGTTGTTTTTATCACACCCAGGTTCTTTTCTGTGCATTTGGGGGGCCCAAAGCGACATCCTACTTGGGGGTCTCCCCTCTACCTCAGTCCTATTATGTTTGTATGCGAGAATGAAAAATTAAGGTAAACACACTAAAGCAGTATTTATCTATATACAAGGGAAATCTAATCTTAAAACCACTAAATTGTAAATGCAAATAAAGTAAAGAAATAAAAAAAGTAAACAATAAAATACCTATAATAAATTATATTTGTAAAACTGGGTTTGTTTTAGAGTGAAGGATGTTTTTATCATCATTATTTATTTTCAAAACTTGCAGAAGCTGTGCAGAAACAGTAAAGGTAACCACACTTATGGCCAATTTCTTGTCTTGTAAAAATGTATTAATTGCAACTTCATAGTCTATGAAGTCTGTATACAGTCTGTGTATTGATGTGGACATGCAGTAGACACGCTTAGCCTTTCAGCTGTGTTTAAAAGGTGTGTACTTCTTCTCCACTTCAACGACTGTGGGCTGGGGGGCTGATGGTGGGCTGTGACACCTTCCTTTGACTAAGACCTTTTCGTAAGAAGGTTCTAGTGTACAGTCTACAGTACACAACATGAGAAGATGTGTCTGAATGTACTGGCTGTGTTGCTGTTTGCTGTGCAGTGGATGACCATCACATTAGCGGGTAAGTTTTAAAGTGTTGACCTTTTCAGTTCAGTGCAGTAGTGGACGTTGTCCAGCCTTAGTTTCCTTTGCTTTGTGTGAAATTTAGAGTATGTGGTGGTGACATGGTGGGTTCCTGAGAGACAAAGTGGGGATTCTTATGTCAGTATCATAATCAGGAAGAAACATCAGTGAATAAATAAGCCAGTGGTTGTTTTTTTGTTTTGTGTTGCAATATTAGAGTTGCATGGCCATGTAAGGCAATAATAACAAGGCAATCATTCTGTCTTGTTCAGATTAGTCTCTTACTTTGTTTTTTTATTATACTCACTGGCCTAAAAACCATCTGATCATTCTGCGGGTGATGGAATGGGAGTGCAGGTATAGTGAAGTATAAGTTTGTATGTTGTGCACATTCCATACGCAAATTACGGACAGATATCGGCAACACACCATCAGAGCTCTCCCCCTCCAGACAAGGGTTATACCAGGGGTCGGCAATCCAAATGTTAAGAAGAGCCATTTTGTCCTTTCAACAAAAATCAAACCATCATGGGAGCCACAACATTTCATGTCCATTTTGCCATCTTGGCTGTGAATATGTCTCAGTATGTGCTGATGTACTAGAATATGCTAAAAAATATAAATGAAAATGCAGACTTACTTTGCTCTGCTTTAAGCTTTGGCTCAGCTGTAGCTGTTTTTCTCACATCTCTGACAGGAAACTTTTCCTCAAAAAATGGGAGTTTCTTGTAAAATGTCTCTCAATATTCAACTTTTTATGAGGCTTCCCATTCACCAGCTTCTTGTTCGACCTTAAATGTTGCCTGAATGTAACTGCTGCACCATTTGAGGTGGAACAGGACAATTTCAACAAGAAGCTGGCGAACAAGGGACTAACTTCAGCCTCGCAAGTTTTTAGTGTTTGACTAGTTTCTCGTTGCAGATTAAACGTATCAGGAAACCAGCTGGATTGTTTATAAACGCAAATAAGTCTAATCGTTTCCAAATCATTGATGTTTGTCTTAAATCTTTCTCTTTGCCTATTTGTTAGCTACTAGCTAGGTGAGTTGAGAACTAGCTAGTTGTCTGTGTTGCTTTAGTGACCAGCAGCCTGCGCACCAGCCTTCAGGGTGAATTAGCAGTCATAAATTAACTCCAGTGTTTAAGACCATTTACTCTTAAAACTGTAATATTGAAGTGTACAGTTTAGTTTCTAAACCTTGTAGACCAAAAATATATATTAAAGTAGCTGTGTAGCAGAGTAAAGTGTAACTTACTTAAATATGCACAAGAGAACAACAGTCTAGCACGGAGGAAGCAAAGATACATTTGCTCCTCAGTCTTACTTTACAGATGATCATCAGCTTCATCATCAGAGACCTTTGTTCCATCAGTTCATCTCAGCCTGACCTGACTCTGATTTTGATATGCGTATTTAACTAGGGATGCGCTGAAATGTCAACTACCGAGAATTTTTCAGCCCAAAAATGAGCCAGTGATTGTCCTCAGGCATTGGACCTTCAGCATACTGTTGCAACAAGGTAACAGGCACGAAAATTAATGTCACCAACATTGTGAAGTACATGTGGCAGGATGCAGCACTGTGTCCTATCAAAGCTGTGAGGCAAGTAAGACTCATTAAATCCTCTTTGTTATGGAGACTTACTTCATGTCTCCAAGAAAAACATTTAGAGGATGACCAGAAAATTAGGTTACAAAACTCTCCATGAAACGTAATCACTAATTACTGATATGTCAATTCACAGGTTTATATCCACAAAGCAGAATGTAATATGCTCTGATCCAGAGAGCAGATGGGCCAAATTTGCGATGTGTGTGGTGGATAAAAGAAAAAGCACAGACCAAGCAGAATCGATCTGTAGAAATTTAACAACGGTAACAACTCCCTCCAATCCCTCTATGACAGTTCCCTCAGAGCCCTCTACTACAGTTCCCTCAGAGCCCTCTACTACAGTTCCCTCAGAGCCCTCTACTACAGTTCCTTCAGAACCGTCTACGACAGTTCCCCCCAAAACCTCTACAACAGCTCCCTCCAATCCCTCTACTAGAGTTCCCTCAGAGCCGTCTACGACAGTTCCCTCAGAACCGTCTACGACAGTTCCCCTCAAAACCTCTACAACAGCTCCCTCCAATCCCTCTACTAGAATTCCCTCAGAGCCGTCTACGACAGTTCCCTCAGAGCCGTCTACGACAGTTCCCCCAAAAACCTCTACGACAGTTCCCTCCAATCCCTCTACAACAGCTACACCTGTTTCAGTGCCAAGTAAAAAGACAATGGGCAGGATAGAAACAGAAACAACAGTCAAGTCACTGATAGCCGACGACTCACTGAAGAGCTCACCAAACTACAACAGGGTGAGTGCAGAGACGTCTTCGGTAGAAGAGGAGGATGAAAGTGAGTCCCGAAAATCTTCAGATGAGAATGAATCACCTTCAGGAATCAGTAAGACAAAGAACACAGAGCTAGAAGAGTCTCCGCTAGAAGAGAAAGAAACACTGTCTTCAACAGTGAATGAAAACAAGAGCACCATGTTTTGTATAAAGAGGGTACCAGATAAAAGTAGCAGTGCTTACTTTTGTATCAAAGATTCTTTATAATCAGAGGAGGAACATAACATGCTTAGATTTACTGTAAGTAACCAGACGCCTTTTCTGGTTTGATTAGTATGATTTGGATCTTTCTGTGTGTTAGCATGTTTTCTATCACTGTATAAAAGACGCACAACTCTTCCTTAATTGTTAGATGAACTTTTCGTATTTTTATTAAGCTTATTCATAGTTTATAAATGATTTTTATTTCAATGAGAGTAATGCTAAAACACGGCTGATATAGGAATATAGTATTTTCCTCTTTGTGACGTTCAAAAATGTAGCTTGCGAGAAACTAAATAAAAGTCTATGAATTTTCCCTTTTGGTAGATCATGATTTCTTTTTTATATAATGTTTGAATGTAATTAATACCTCTATGGAATTTAAGATTCAGTAATACTTTATGGGAACTACATGAAGCATTTATGGCATGTTGATGAACAGTACAGTAACACTACTATACTATTATATATACTGCTGCTGTCAGAAGAAACCTTGTATCTCCATTTTTGTCATTTTTTAGTTTTTGATATAATCTGAAAATGCCTGTTGCTCTTTACATTGTGTGTACATTTCATGATAAATGGACCAAAAGAAACGACCCAAAATGATTTGGAAACAAATCTGGTTCCATTGACTTACATTAAAAGTAAAGTAGGTTTTTTCCCTCTCATGTAAGGTTACCATTTTACAGATACAAGGTTTTCTTCCGACAACCTCGATATCAATTAATGCGTAAGCATATCGGTAATGAATTGAAAACACACTGTGACGCTTACTGTATGCTTCATGATATGATGATAAATTAAACATATAGTTCAAATCTACATCCTACGATATTAAACACATCGTGAGCCTAGTCAAGAGAAATCCAAATCACATTCATTACCGCTCAAAGTGTTTATGTTTGAATATTTTATGACGCTCATGCACTGGTTCGAGAAATTCATGTATAGGTATCTGAAGTGTCATTAATTGGTGTCAAACAAATGGTTTTTGAACTGCATTGAGGGAGCATGAATACAGTATGGATCTGTTGATATCATATGTAGACTTGTACTCGACTTGTATTCGGTAATACTGTAAACTGCCTTATTAAATATGTACGGTTACTGAAGACACTTTGAAATACCATGACTACAATGTAGTCAAATAAGCAGCAGTTTGAGATTTCTTACGTATGCACAGCAGCTCTGCTTTCCCCTCACGATTTCACGCAGAGCCGCAGCGCAGCAGAAGGAGGAGCAGGCAGAAGACTTTTTATCCCTAAAAAAGGAAAACTCACATCTCACCCAGCTCAGAAAAGGGCAAAAATGCAAAATGCATTGCATCACAAACTGGGTTGATATGAAGTAAAAGACTGAACTTAACCTTACTTAACAACATTTACTGAATCATTAACTGTATATCTGTAAAAAAAACTCAAATATCTGTTACAAGCTTTATTTGTCCAACTCAAGTTGTTAGCTTGAAATGTTCCTCCTAGCAGAAATTAGCATTCTTTAATTAATGTAATGTAAGTTAATCTACGTTAAGTTAAGAGATTTTATTCCAATTATTTTAGAACATTTCTATTGGGCCATTCATCATGAAATCATCATAGAAAATGATGACACATGGTTTTCTATTTGTTCCATGAAAAGATAGAATGTGTATTTTAATGTGTTTATGATCATTTCAGTTTACACTCAACATTGGCGGGAGCATGTATCAACATTGCAAGTGGCTTAACTCTGTTTAACGTTTATACCATAGCCAAGCTCTGGTATTAAACTCATTAGCAAAGTGAGGAGAGATATTTTACTCATTTGCAGTAAAAAATGAAATAAAAATGATCATACTGCAATATTGAGTAGATGTATCAGCCATGTTCATTAGTTGCCTACATAGCAAGCCCACTGCCATCAATTTACCTTTAGCACTGCAGTCACTAATGTAATACTGTGATTACGAGAGTTATGAAGGACTTTTCTTACTTACTTAGAAATCATGTTTGAGTTCATATAAATACTTTGCAGCAATTTATAGTTATTTATACAGACAAATGAAGCAAATCATCATGTTTGCTGTAATGTGTGTTTAGCAGTGTATCCCACCCTCAGTGTTTCTACCAAACCTGCACGCTCAAGCTTGGTTAACCATGACTGCAAACTAGTGCAGACTTTAACACAGTTGTAGTCTGAGCCTTCATAGCTACAGCACATCATAAACCACGAACGGGTAATGCTGCTCTTTCTCTGAATCTAAGTAAAGGTCTTCACCATTCCTCAGGTGCACTGGTGCAAATTCAGGGGTGATGGAGGGGAACGTGTCCCCAGTGTGTCATGTCACTTAGCTGAAGTTATGCCTACTGCAGGGGTGGATTAAGTGATTGTGGGGCTGTAGGCGAAACACAGTAATGGGGCCCCTCGATGCACATTTTTGAATTAGCTGAGGCGGCTCCTGAGTGGTTCAACCATCTGCACTGTCAAGTGAACTCGTCTTGAATCTAGTCAATGCCTCTAATATTTCTTGTTTTGAGATTGTTGTATGATTATTTGACTTCTTTCTAGACATTTTCTTACTTAAAGTCAAATGATCTCACTATATTGGCAGATCATTTTGCTTGTTTTAGGAAATATACTTGAAAATGAAAATCTGCCAATATACAGAGATCATTTGATACAAAGTGACATAGAAATAAGTCGTGAGTAGTTAGATTTGTGGGGTCGTGGGCATTCAGGTGTGGTTTTCGACCTTGGCTTTACACACAGAGATTTCTCCAGACTTCGTGAATCTTTTTATAATATTATTCACTGTAGAGGGAGAAACCTAGAATCCTTGCACTTAGTCTTTGAGTAACATTGGATTATAAGCTTACACATTTTGATTCATCTTGTTTCATAAAGGACTAGGCCTTTTCACATCACATTTTTTCATTTTTTTGTCCAAAAATGTGCAATTTTTAATAGCATCACCTGTTCAAGATGTTTATTGAACATTTCACAATGTTTCTAGTCTTAAACTGCCTCTGTCCCAGCTTTTTTTGGAACTTGCTGAAGAAATCAATTTCATTATGAGCGTATATATTTACAAAAAAAAAAAAATGGGTTTTTGTGGGTTTACAAACTCATTTGCATTTCACATACTGTATCAGCTTAGAACTGAGGTTTGTATTTCCTAACATACATTTATCCGTGTCTTAAGAGCAGCTTTTACCTCAGTAATGATTTGACAGTTCTCAGTTTTCCAATGATTGTCAAACACACACTGTATTACCATTCTAGAGAAAATAAGTTATTATTTGGACCTAATGAGTCACAATTTGAACCAGGAACCGAAACAAGAATAACAAACTTTTTTCCCACCTGGCAGAAATGGGCTTTTATACCAAAAGGACTGTTAGAAATAAAGGTTCAGTGCAGGTACATTTTGGTTCATCGAGGTACAAACAATGTAAATGTTCCCTCAAAGGTAAAACAGTGGTTTTAAGGTCTGATCGTGAACCTTAAATAAGTTTCCAGGTGAAAAGTACATATTTCTATCTTTTCATAACCGAATGATTTAAAACAGAGCAATAAAATAAAAAGTCTGGAGACGAGACGGGGTGTGTGGTGTCAATACAACTGTATAGAAAATATCAATTCAGTGGATTATGGTACAGTTATTTTCCCTGATCAAAGGTACCCTTGAGGGAACCACCCCAGTGACAGCTGTGTACCTTTTTTTCTGAGAGTGCATGGTCATACTGCACTGCTCATATAGTAGTTGCAATGTTGTGCTTGTGTTAATTTGCTTCGAGGTTCTTAGTAGACTGGCCACCCCCACCAGCGCAAAGTGTCTGTAATCAGCGCCTCTTTTAGTAAATCTGCCCCCAAATGTGATACTTTTCATATAATACAACTAAAAAGGAGAATCTTGGTTATCTGTTTACATGTGTGACTGCTTTACTGGTGTGAATGATACGAGTGAATCAGGAAATACAAAAATATTTAATAAAAAAACAAATACGAGAAGCTATTTTCTATTTTATAAAACTGAATTAATGTAAATAACAGCTTTTTCAGAAACCTAAGCAGCACCGGACTGTCACGTGATACTTTGCCGCAGGGAGCGAGCCGTGACGAGAGAGTTTCCTGTTGGTGACTCGTACTCCAGCAAACACCATTTGGGCCAGCAGCAGTTTCTGTGGTACGGTCTACAGTGCGCAACAGGACAAGATGCAGCTGAAACCATTCGCTTTGTTTCTGTTTGCCCTGCAGTGGACGATCATCACGTCAGGGGGTGAGTTAAACTGCGTCAGCTGAGTTTAGTGGTGACCACTGTGGTCTAATCTCAATTTCCTTTGCTTTGTGTGGGATATAGGGTGGGTTTCAAAGAGTCTGTGGTTCCTAACATCACCGCCATTTATTTCTTCGTTATTTATCTCCTTTATTCTTTTTTCTAATTGTGTTTTTTTAACTTATAAAAGACAAAAGTTAGTGGACACTTACAGACTTATTATCTCAACACTGTCTCGTACTTGTGGTCGGCAGCCGATGAGGCCTAACATATGCGCTCCCACATTCAGAAAACAGCTGGAAGAGAATGCCACTGTGGCGGAGACAGCGAGAGAGGAGGGCTTTATGCTAGGTTAATATCTTGTGCAAACCGTCTGCTAAACATCCTGCCAGTTAGGTCCACTTTCCCGAAAACAAGATGGATGAACAAGATACCACAATAACGTCCTGGGGGAAATTAGAGAACACCCTGTACTGGGGGTAAAGACTGCCACATCTGGTATAAGAGTGGCATTGCTTGCTTGTTTTGTCAACCATGCAAGGTGCTCTGATATGGAGCATTACACCGAATTAGTTCGAACTGCAGTCACACAGTAAAAAACTCCTTTAAAAAATGAAATTTAGTAATTTTATGATCATTTTGTTAGTGAAAAATAGAATGTTCAATTATTATTTTTAATTAAAAAAGCATCATTAAGGCATAAAGTCACTTAATGGACTTTTTATCATTTAAGGGGATCTTTTTTTATTTGTAGTCATCATAATTATAATTTACTTAATATGTCAGATGCAGGAAAAAAAACAACTTGTTCATTTTTTCTTCCATAGGGATTGGACCTCCAGCAGCATGCTGCCAAAGGACATTTGATCGGAAAATGAACATCACCCAAATTGTGGCCTACGTACATCAAGATCTACCACTGTGTCCCATCAAAGCTGTAAGGCAAGTAAAACTTATTAAATCCTCTTTGTTATAGAGATTGATTGAATATTCAAAGAGTAACCAAGGAATTTGATTTCAAAGCCTCCATAAATGTATAGTCGTGTGTATGGTTTGAACAGCCTGGTCAAACGAAATGTGTTGTTGATTTTCTAAGTGGAAAAAAGTTCCACGTCCTCTACAGAAAACAAACAGGCAAGATTGTATGTTTTATTTTTTTCCCACAATATGTTAAATTCAGAAAATAAACAGTAATTATGCACTAAAATGTGCAGAAATATGTTCTCTGTAGAGGATGTGTTCACTTAGTTTCACTTAGACAATGAACAGAACATGTCATCTGACCAGGGGCACCGAAACTTTTGCATACAACTGTAATCATGACAATGACTGAAAATATCATTTTACAGGTTTTTTACCACAAGTGGCCGCTCCATATGCTCTGATCCAGAGAGCCTTTGGACTAAAAGGGCCATACAGCTGGTGAACACATGGAAAAGCATCCAAGCTCCTCCAGAAGATCTAAGCTTCATAGCCGACAATCCAGGACAGGAGCTCATCATCATACCAGAGTATACAAATGACGATCCAATGGTAACAAGGCATTCCTCAAGTATCGGACCTCAAGCAATCTGTTGCAACAAGATAACAAACACGAAGGTTGCAGTCACCAAAATTGTGAAGTACGTGTATCAGGATTCAGCACTGTGTCCTGTCAGAGCTGTGAAGTAGGTAGTACTTATTAAATTCTCTGTGTTATAGAGATTTTGCATGTCTTCTAGAATAATATTTATGGAATAACCATAACCCCGCCCCACCCTAATAACTGAAATATTCATTCACAGGCTTACCACCATGAAAAACAACTTAATATGCGCTGATCCTGAAAGCAAGTGGACCAAATTTGCCATGTGTGTGGTGGACACAAGGAAAAGCACCAAAGAAGCAGAATTAACTTGTAGAGGCTTAACAGCAAGAAGCTGGACAAAGCCCCCTCTGATGACTACTACCATAATAATGATGAGTAAAAGTACAGTGAGCACAATGTTCACGACCCCCAGTTTACCAACAGGAAGCACGACAGCAACATATACCACACAGTCATCATCAATGAAGACAGAACCACCTATAACAGCCAAGACAACACAATGGCACCATAACATACCATCTCTGGTGTCAACAAAGACACAGAATCCAAGGGAAACATCCACCACCAAAACAGCAGTGACAGACGAGGCTCCCAAGGTAACCAGTCCGCCAACGACACTGAGACGTCTGAAAAAGAAAAGCAAACCAAAGAGTGGGCTGAGGAAAGCACAGAAAAAAATAGATAAACAATAACAGAACGTTGATGACCAGTTCGTTGATGACCAGCAGGACCCTGACACCAAATCCGTTGTCTTTTTTGTCTAAGCACTAAAATGTGGGAAGGAGACACTGCAACTAAATGACTTACAAACCGGGTACACCCCATTCTGCCGTTCTCTGTGGGTATGAACAGGCTAGGATGCACCTAGACACATCAAAAACGGCTATATACAGTCACAGCCTTTGATCCGCCATATATTTTCTGAAATCTTTGCATCCATACAACGTACAAAATTCCTACTCGATGTGAAAGACGTCATCAACATCAGTGTTTGTTTTCAAAAGTTGCCATGCATTTTTGTCCATAAAGATCGGACTTGGTGTGAAAAGGCCTTAAGTGCACTGCTTTTGCATTTAGGCACATGCATATCGCCGCTGTCAGAAGAAAACCTTGTATGTCAATTTTTGTCGTTTTTTCAGTTTTTCACATAATTTGAAAATGTCTGTTGCTCTTTACATTGTATGTAAATTTCCTGATGAACAGACCAAAAGAAACGACCCAGAATTACTTGTAAAAAAATCTGGTTCCATTGACTTACATTAACAGTAAAGTAGGTGTTTGCCTTCTCCTGTAAAGTTACCATTTTGCAAATATGAGTTTTTTTTTTCAGACAACAGTGATAAGTAAAAATTAAGTATAAGCATTAGAGGTTTAAACTTCTTGCACCTACCCTTTTCCCTGTTTACAACACTGGCACTTTCACTTACTAACCTGAATTTAAATCAGTAACTTATTTGCTTGCATTTGTATCGTCTCTTCTTGGTTATTGTATGGAATCACTGTTATAATTGCAATCACA